CACTAGTTAATACCGTATTAAATACTGTTCGTAGTATTTGTTTTAATGCCACCCGATAAGATAGTTATTTTGTATCCTTTTTTTTCTTTTTAGTTTTTAATTCCTCTTGCTAAGTTTATTACTATTATTATTATTCTCACTGTAATAAAAGATATTTTGTATGCTTGAGTATTTTTTGGCACTTGTCTTTATTCCGGACATGTATCCGAACGTACTGCTACAGTTAATTAATGAGCCCCCCCTGAAATCCCGGCCCAGATCCCGAATTTGGGAAGTCACGGCGAGGGGAGAGAGAACAAACACCTAACACACAGAGCTGCTTCTTGTTCCTCCATACAGGTCACCTAGCACATTTCCAAGTCCTTTATTGTTTTATTTCTATACACAAATGTTAGATTTGCATTTCCAAACCCTACAGATCCACATTCAGACTTTCCATGGAATAAAGTCCTGTCTGTAACACACCAGGCACGGGAGGTTATTCTGAAATCGATTTTGAAATAAAATACTATTATTTCCCAATATACATAAAAATGAGGAACTCGGCAGTGTTTTACACACACCCCCCTCGTGAATTTTCAGGCATTTTGGGGCTGTCACCTCCCCTTCTTAGGGGAATCTGCCAGGACCCTACTGGGAGCCAGGGGGTGGCTGTGCAATGTCACAGCCCTGCAAGGGAGGACTCCTGTGTGACATCCCAGCCCCAGGTCACCCCAGTGCTCAGGGGGACAAAAGGGCTCCCAGGGGGCACTGGAGGCCCCCCTGGAGCAGAGCAGATGGAAGATTGTTGGCCAAGCAGGACACGGTGATGATGTTGTGAGGAGGATGATGATGGTGTCACCTCCTGGTTGGCAGAGCATGGGAAACATGGATTCTCCCGTGGGACACTGCAGGGTCCTTGGTGACAACACACCAATTTGTCCACCCACAGCATCCCTGGCGTGAATCCAAACCCAGTACCTGGAATAAAATGGCCCCTATCCCAGTGAACCCAGTACAGCAGCCAGTTCTTTGCCCAGCACACCCTGTCCCTGCCCATCCCACAGCTGGACACCTTCTCCAGAAGGATTCTGTGAAGGGGCCGGAGCAAAACTCCTTCTAAAATCCCCAAAATTACATGCAGTGCCTCCCCATCACCTGGGTGACCTTATGGTAGCAGGATAAGAAACCAGTTAGACAGGAATTTCCCTCTGTTTTCCCACACCTGATGCTAGAATAATCCTTGGATTGCTTCCCAGTACTGCCCAGTACGTCCTTTCCCACTGTTTTTCCCGGTACCAAGGTTAGATCAACAGGGCTGGAGTTTCCTGGAAAGCCCGAGTGGGATACAGCTGGAGAGAGTCCAGCCAGCACAGACCTCCTGGGGCTTCCAGGACCTTGGGTAGATGACTGAAGGAGGTTCCTGCTGGGAACCCCATCCAGCCTCACAGCCTCATGGATATGGAACTGGCCCAAGTGGTGCCCAGTGATCCCAGGTGGAAAATCCCTGTCCCTCCCCAGCCAGGCACAGTTGGACACACAGATAAGCCGCTGGCACCGTGGGAGGATGGGCAGCTGTAGGTCACTGGGAACAGTTAAAAGCAGCGAGGACGCCCAGAGAGACCAATTCCGGGATTCTGCCGTCCCGAGCGGATCAGTGCGCTCTGACAGGATGCTGGGCCTGGCTTTGGCCATGGGGGTCCTGCTGGCCCTGGTGGGCTGCACGGCCACGGAGCACTGTGGTGAGTGGGAGAGGGTGGAGACTCCGGAGAGCCCGTGGATGGGCCGGGGGATCCTGGTGACCTTCCCTCTCCTTCCAGCGGCCCCGCAGGACCTGGTCTGCCGGTTGCTCCAGAGCATGGAGGGCTCCATCAAGCCCGGAGAGGTGCCGAATCCCAGCATCCTGCTGGCCATGAGCCTGCTTGGGGTGGACACCCAGAGTCCCAACTACAAGTTGCTGCTCCAGGAGATCAAGGAGGAGGTGGTGACGAGAGCCCAGAAAGGTAGGGAAGGGAATGAGGGAGGGCCCCTGGTCCTGGGGGATCAGATTCCGCAGGTTTGGCACTGCCAGCTCCCGGGGGGACAGGTCCCATCCCACCGTGCTCCCGGTGTCCTCTTGTCCCCACAGCCATGACCTCAGGACAGGTGGCTGAGCACGTCCTCGCCCTCCTCTCGTCCTGCCAGGACCCCCGGCAGGTCCACGCCCTGGGACAGACCATCGACCTGATCTCCATCCTGCAGCAGAAAACAGATGAGGAGATGGTCGAGCTGGGTACGCTGGGCCCTGGGGGGTGTCCACCTCCCTGCATCCCATCATCTCACTGCTCTGTTTTCCAGAGGACAAGGGTCATCCCAAAACCACCCTGTTCAGCGTGAGCCTGGACACCATGGCCCTGTGCCTGGTCAGGGCAGACAGGTACCGGGGGCCAGCGGTGGCCTTGGCCAAGGAGGTGCTGAGCCCCAACAGCCCCATCAGTGTGGGTAAGAGATCCCTCTGCTCCCACATTCCTGCTCCGGAGGTCTCTCCGGGGCTTGGCAGTGACCCCGGGACCCACAGACACTCGTGCCGTGGCGGTGCTGGCCTTGGTGTGCGCCCACGACAACGTGGAGGACCCGGAGGTGCAGGATCTGCTCCACGAGGCAGTTTGGACGGTGACCAACAACTTCCTGGATGAGCAGGAGGAGAGGAAAGGCATGATTGGGAACATCTATAGCATGGGGCTGGCCCTGCAGGTACGGGGGTGGGGAATGTGCCGTCACAGCCACCTGGTCCCGTTCCCAGATTGGCCACACCACCTCCCACCTCTTCCGCAGGCACTGGAGGCCTCAAGGGACTTTTACGCCCCTCAGGACTGGGATTGTGCCCAGGCCTTTGCTGTGGTGACCAACCACACCTTCGAGCTGCCCATGGCCATCGCCCAGGTGCTCCCAGCCCTCGTAGGCATGTCCTACCTGGATGCGGCCACGCTGAACTGCGGTGCCCCCATGGATCTGTGCCCAAGCCTGGGGACACACAGGGTTCCCACAGGTATAATGAGCCCACCTGGAGCCTCCCAGACCCCACGGGAGTCCCAGGACATCACAGTGCACTACTCCATCACCAACAACCTCCAGGGAATCCCCTGGCACTACAGCATCTCGGTGACGGTCCCAGGGGTCTCCACACTGCTCGAGGTGCTGGAGAGGGCGGAGGAGATGGATCCCGAAAACTTTAGGTGAGAGCCAGAGGAGCCAGAGGGGGGGGGGGTTGGCATCTCCCCATCCAGCCCTGAGCCCACTCACCTCCCCGGCAGCTTCAAGACAGAGCAGACATCCTGGGGTCCCTTTGTGGTCTCCATCCACGGGCTGGCTGGCAGTGACAATGACAGGACATACTGGCAGTTCCTCAGCTCTGGGAAACCTTTGGATCAAGGTGGGCAGTCAGGGAAGGTGGGGGGTCATGCTGGGGGTCTCCACATCCCAGCCTCACATATCCCTCTGCCACAGGGGTCGGAACCTACAAACCACACTCCGGGGAGCACATCCAGGCCATCTTCAGCACCTACTGAAGCCACCAAGAGACCCTGGATCCCACCAGGGAGCAATAAAGGGCCATTCCAGCGTGTCCCTCTGTGTGTGTCCCTGGGGAAAACAGGGCTCAGATCCTGTTTTGCCTTCCTTCCGTCTTCATTTCGTTAGTTCAACTTCCCTCTTCTCTTCCCCACCATCCCACACAAATCCAGCCTCACCCAGACTCTGGATTGTCAGTCCCACCCTGGGCATCAGCAAAGCCCTTCCCAGTCTTGCCCACTAGTCACTGGATTGTTCCTCTGGCAACATTCCTGTACTTCAGTTCAATAAATCTGATCTCTGCACAAGCTCCAATTGCATTAATCAGGTGTAATTACTGTGGTTTGATTATTGCAATCCCAATTATGATCAGCCTGAGGCCACCAGTTGGATTTCTCCCCTGGAAATCTGGAGGCGGTGGCCTGAGGTCCCAAAGGTTACAGCTGGGGGTGGGGAGAACGATTCCAAACCTGGTTCTGGGACTCGATCCCCGGCCGGAGTCACCAGCACCTCCCAGTTGGGTCCCAACTGCTCTCCAGGCACGTGGAGCCCCATTCCCTACTCCCACTGGGCCCTGCCCAGACACTCCTTCAGCCTGGACCTGCTCATCTCCCACATGGACCCTTCCAAGGCACCTTCCTGCCCCAACCATTCCAGGATTCCATGGACACTGTCTCCAGAAGGGGCTGGGAGGGACAGGATCCAAACTCTTCCTGACACCCCAAAACCAACATCCACAAACCTTCTGTCTTCTCTGGGACAGGGGATCTTATCCAGGACATCAAACCAGTCAGACAGGACCCTCCCTTCCTCAAGCCATGGGGACAGTGACACCCTCCGGCAGCGCCGGGGCAGGTGTGGCAGGGCAGGTGACCAAAGGATGGCACCAGGAGCAGATAAAAGCCAGGAGGAGGCCCAGAGAGACAAGTGCCCCTGCTCTCTGCTGCCCTGAGTGGATCAGCTTTCCCAAGGCCAGAGGATGCCGGGAGTGGCTTTTGGCGTCGGGGTCCTGCTGGCCCTGGTCTGCGGCACTGTCACACAGGGCTGTGGTTTGTGTCCCTCCTCCTGCAGGGGCACTGGAGACACCCCAGTGACACTACAGGGGCAGGAGGGGATGGGACATGGGGGTCCTGGGGACCTCCGGCCCTCGGGGCCAGAGGGGTGCTGGGCTACAGCCTCCTGTGACCAGATGGTCCGGGAGCTGCTGCGGTGCATGGAGGAGTCGATCCAGCCACATGCACGGTCAAACCCCAGTGTCCTGCTGGCCATGAACCTGCTTGGGGCGGACATCGAGAGTCCCACCTACAGGTTGCTGCTCCAGGAGATCAAGGAGGAGGTGGTGACGAGAGCCCAGAAAGGTATGGAAGGGAATGAGGGGGGTTCCTGGTCCTGAGGGATCAGATTCCACAGGTTTGGCACTGCCGGCTCCTGGGGGGACAGGTGCCATCCCACCACGCTCCCGGTGTCCTCTTGTCCCCACAGCCATGACCTCAGGACAGGTGGCTGAGCACGTCCTCGCCCTCCTCTCATCCTGCCAGGACCCCCGGCAGGTCCCTGCCCCGGAAGAGCCCATCAACCTGATCCCCATCCTGCAGCAGAAAATGCATGAGGAGATAACCCACAACGGTACTGTGTGATGGCAGGGGGCACAGGGGGCCGGGGGTGCCACTCTCCCAGCTCACCCCTCTTTGCCTTGCAGTGATCAGCTGGTACAACAGGAGCCTGGACATCCTGACCCTGTGTGTGGTGAAGGAACACGACCGAGGTGCAGCCGTGGCCCTGGCCAAGGAGTTGCTGAGCCCTGACAGCCACCTCGATGTGGGTAAGGGACCCCTCCAGCCCTGCTGAGTCCCCTCCACTGCCACAGTCCTGCTGCCCACCCAGGGCTTGGCAGTGACCCCAGGATCCCACAGACACCCGTGCCATGGCGGTGCTGGCCCTGGTGTGTGAGAACAACACAGTCCCATACGAGGAGCACCTGATTCAGTGGGCACTGGGCAATGTGACCAACGGCCTCCTGGACGAGCAGGAGAAGGGGAAAGGCATGATCGGGAATCTCTCCAGCATGGGGCTGGCCATACAGGTATGGAGGGGGCTGGGGGGCTGGCCATACAGGTATGGAGGGGGGCTGGGGGGTCACAGCCACACGGCTCTGCCCCTGGGCTGCTCGTGCCACCTCCCACCTCCTCCACAGGCTCTGGAGTCCTCAAGGAAGTTTCAAGCCCCTCGGAGGTGGGACCGTGCCCAGGCCTTCCACATGGTCCAGACCCATGAGCAGGAGTACACACAGCCCATGGTCATTGCTCGGGTCCTGCCTGGCCTCGTGGGCAAGTCCTACCTCAACGCAGGTAGGGTTGTGCTGCCCCCACCCAAATGCCCCCAAACCGACAGCTGCCCTTGTCCCCAGCACTGGTGACACACGGCATTCCAACCGGGAGCCCCCCAGACCCCACGGGGACCATGCTCCTGCCCCTTTCTCCGTGGGAGTGTTCCAGCTGCCCACCCTGCCCCTCTCCTCCCCCACAGCCCCCCTCATGGTGCAGTATTCCATCACCAACACACTGAAGAACTACTTCCACTACTCCACCTCAGTGTGTGTCCCACCTGGCTCCAGGCTGCTGCAGGTGCTACAGGTGGCAAGGGATGAAAAGCCCCAGATCTTTAGGTGAGACCCAGAGGGACCAGGTGGGGGAGAAGGGGAGGGGTTTCCATCCCCCACCCAGCCCTGAGCCCACTCACCTCCCCGGCAGCTTCGAGACAGTGAATTACGATCACTTGGGTCCCTTCGTGGTCTCCATCCATGGGCTGGCTGGAAACACGACTGAAAGGACATACTGGCAGTTCTTCAGCTGCTGGAGTCCCCTCCAGCAAGGTGGGCAGCTGGGATGGGTGGGGGGTCATGCTGGGGATCCCAGCCTCACATATCCCTCTGCCACAGGGGTCGGAACCTACAGGCCAAAAAACTGGGAGCACATCCAGGCCATCTTCAGCACCTACTGAAGCCACCAAGAGACCCTGGATCCCACCAGGGAGCAATAAAGGGCCATTCCAGTGTGTCCCTCTGTGTGTGTCCCTGGGGAAAACAGGGCTCAGATCCTGTTTTGCCTTCTTTCCTTCTTCATTTCATTAGTTCAGCTTCCCTCTTCTCTTCCCCACCATCCCACACAAATCCAGCCTCACCCAGACTCTGGATTGTCAGTCCCACCCTGGGCATCAGCAAAGCCCTTCCCAGTCTTGCCCACTAGTCACTGGGTTGTTCCTCTGGCAACATTCCTGTACTTCAGTTCAATAAATCTGATCTCTGCACAAGCTCCAATTGCATTAATCAGGTGTAATAATGTGGTTTGATTATTGCAATCCCAATTACGATCAGCCTGAGGCCACCAGTTGGATTTCTCCCCTGGAAATCTGGAGGCGGTGGCCTGAGGTCCCAAAGGTTACAGCTGGGGGTGGGGAGAACGATTCCAAACCTGGTTCTGGGACTCGATCCCCGGCCGGAGTCACCAGCACCTCCCAGTTGGGTCCCAACTGCTCTCCAGGCACGTGGAGCCCCATTCCCTACTCCCACTGGGCCCTGCCCAGACACTCCTTCAGCCTGGACCTGTTCATCTCCCACATGGACTCTTCCAAGGCACCTTCCAGCCCCAACCATTCCAGGATTCCATGGATACTGTCTCCAGAAGGAGCTGGGAGGGACAGGATCCAAACTCTTCCTGACACCCTGAAAAACAACATCCACAAACCTTCCACCATCTCTGGGATGGGGGAATCTTATCCAGGACATCAAACCAGTCAGACAGGACCCTCCCTTCCTCAAGCCATGGGGACAGTGACACCCTCCAGCTGCTTCCATTGCCACACAGATGAGGTGGCAGCGCTGGGGCAGGTGTGGCAGGGCAGGTGCTCCCATGGAGACATTTCTGCCTGTGCCCCACAGGGTGCCCCTTTTCCCCTCACACACCCCATCCCAGTGCAGTTCTCCATCACCAACACCCTCCAGGGAAAACATTTCCACTATCCCCCCTAATGGGGTTCGTTTTCTCACCAGGAGCTGTCACAGCGCTGGGTTTGGATCCAGGACCGGAGTGCTGTGGATCACACACGGTTGGTTTGGTTGTTGCTCCCTTCTCAAGGACTCTGCAGTGTCCCATGGGACAATCCATGCCTGCTGCTCTGCCAGCCAGGAGGTGACACCATCCTCCTCCTCCTCCTCCTCCTTCTCCCTGAGTCCCACTTGGCCAAGAATCTCACGCCCGCTCTGCTCCAGAGGGGCCTCCATTGCCCACTGGGAGCCCCTTTCTCTAGGATGCCCTGTGGCTGTGACGTCAAAAACAGGGCTGTGACATCACACAGGTGTCCCCACCCGCAGGGCTGTGACATCACCACGCTGACACCAGGTAACACTGGGAGTCATCCCCCGGCTCCCTGCGCGGTCCCGATGGGTCGTGGGGAGCCATGAGCGATGGCAGCGTCCTGCTCTCCATGCTGCTCCTGCTGGTGGCCACCGTGGCCGTGCCCCTGGCCATCCGCCTTCGGCAACGGCCGCTGGGGACACCTGAGACCTGGAAGTGCGCTGGGAGCCGGGCCAGGGACTCCCAGAACAGCCAGGTGGCACCAGCAGGTCCCAGTTCCCCCCCGGCTCAGGTGACCCCTGCCCAGCATCCAGAAGCAACCGGGAGCTCCCTGTACATCCCGTGCGGATGCAGCCCCGACTGCTCCCCCTGCACCATGGCGTCCCAGGAGCTGCAGGACGTGGTGATGCCTGAGAGGACCGGGGAGCCCTTCCCGCAGGATCCCTGGGTGTGCCAGACGCTGTGGGAGGACCTGGAGAAGCTGGTGGAGCGAGGCCACCTGTCGTGCTGTGGCTCGTCCAGCTCCTCTGGGAGCCCCCCTCCCACCAGGAGCCGGCGCCCATCCAGGGCCTCCATCCGACGGAAAGCATCCGCAAGAGCCTCAGCCCATCCCAGAACCCGCCGCCGCCGGAGAGCCTCGGCTCCCGGGAGAGGCTCCATTCCCTCCCGGAGCCTCAGTGATTCCTGCCAGAGTCCGGGCAGAGGAGCCCCCACGGACAGCCCACCCCGCCCCAGAGCTGTGGGAATTGGCACAACCTGCCCGGGCCTGACGATGCACATGGCCAGGAAAAACCTGGAAGTCAAACTGGGAGCCCAGCCCACTGCAGTGAGGCGTTCCCAGGAGCAGGTGGCACAGCAGGAAGTGTCCTTGAGATACCGGTGCCCAGCCCACAGCTCCCAGGGAGCTGCGGCCGTGCCCTATGAGAAGAGCGTCCGTGCGGTGCTGGATAAAATCCTCCAGCGGGAAGGGAACGTGTTCCCGTCTCCAGGGCCCTCTCTGGAGCTGGAGAAGGAATATGCCCACACATCCAGCACTCCTGGCAAAAGCCTCCACCCCTCCCAGAGCCTCTGTGTGACTCCATATGGAGGAGCCCCCCTGGACAGGCCTCCCTGCTCCCTCAGAGCCACAGGAACCAACAGAACCGGTCCGGCCTGGAAGAGCCTGGGAATAGAAGTGGGAGCCAGGGCCATTCCAGCAAAGCACTCCCAGCAGCAGGTGGCCCAGCAGGACATGTCCCGGGGCCGGCAGTGCCCCATCCACGGCTCCCAGGGCATGGCGGTGCCGTATGAGAGAACCCTCCGCGCGGTGCTGGACAAGATCCTGCGGCGGGAAAGGAGGCCGGAGCAGCCCCAGCTCCAGGGAGCCCTCTGGGGATGTCTGGCGAGGGTCGGGATGAAGTTTGTGGCAGCAGCTCAGACACTTGGGAGGTTTCTCTGTGCTAAATAAACTGGGATCTCCCCCGAAAGCTGAGTGCTCCCACTGCTCTGGGTTCACTGGGACGGGGTTCCTTTCTTCCCAGCAGCCGTGCCCTCTCGGATCCCTGGCTTCCCACACCGCCTGCTCCTGGTATAAACAGTGCTACTGGAATTAATGGATACGTCATTAATAATTAATAACACTGGAATTAATTAATATCAGCATCGGAAACAGCGGGAATCTCTGTTTGGAATGGGAAAGGGAGGAAAAAATGGAGTGGAATACCACGGAGCACAAGGCAGGGAGGGGGTGGTGGAAAAGCAGCTTTTAAAGAGTTCTTCTCCAAGGTTTTATCCCAACAAGGTGCTGGCAGGTGGAAAGCTGGAAGGTAATTCCTAGAAACTGTGACATATGGAAAATAGACAATTTAGGGATGTTATTTGCAAATATTATTACTTTTAAATCATCTTTCATCCCTCCACCACAAAACCATTCCTGTACCTTCCCACATACTCACCGTGAAGATCCTTGGAGATAAAAGAGGAATATTTAATTAAGAAATTCCTGTTAGGACCGATTATGGATTGAAAGATTTAAGAGAATCCACAGCAAGGAAGCAAAATCCCACTTTTAGCAATATTTATGGATAAGAAATATGAAATAACTCTTAATTTCCCTGCAAAACAAGCCCAGCTTCTTTCCCAAATTGGCAGAGAGCAAACCCATGGAATTCTGATGTCTACAAAGTATCTAAAAAGCTTAAAACTGGAACTTTCTGTGCTCCTGCCTGTGCTTGGTTTGTTGCTGTTGTGGAATTCCATCTAAAAGTGGGATTTTTTTCATTTACAACCACGGTTTAAGCCATTTCTCTGGAAAAAGAGAAACAGTGTCTTTGTTCTTACATTTTATTCTAGAAACAAAACCCTGCACGTGGCTCCAACAAGCAACAAAACTACAAAAAATACAGAATTAAATAAGAACTCAAAAGAGGTTTCAACTTCTAATTTCCAGCCCAGGATCTGTCAGTGTGCACAACACGGAAAGATGCCTCTGGAATTCAGGGGTGAAGAGGCTGCTTTTCTAGGCTCCTGGATATTTTTATTTTTAAGCATTTTTAAGCAAGACTCAGGCTGGGAGAGCTGCAGCCAGCAGCTTTCCTCGGATTATGTACTAAGAGCAGGCCAGGACTTTGTTGGAATTGGGATCACAACTGGATTTTAAACAAGTGAATATGAGAAGGGAAAGAAAAACCTAAATAAACTCCCATTAAAGAGAAAATTTTACCTCATTATTTGAAGCCTCCTTCCCAATTCCAGCTTGCCTTCCACTCCCATCTTACCTCTTTTGGGATGGACAGGATTGGGTTAACCTAATTTGTCCCTGTTTTGCTCTGCAGCTGGAATTCTTAACTTTGGGAGTGTTTATGTCCAGAAGCTGCTCCAGCTCTCCCCTCTCCCAGCCTCATCCGTTCCTTCCCAGCACTAACTGTTCGTCATTAGCCCAAAATTCCTCGCCGAGCCCCCAAAAACCCGCAATCCCAGCGGTCTGTGGGCGCCCAGCCCCGTCATTTCTCCTTTTTAGCCTTTGTGGCGGCGGCGCTGGGCTTCGGACCGGACTTGGCTTTCTTCCTGGCCGACCCCTTGGACTCGGGCTCCTTGCGCTTGGCCGAGGTGATGGAGCCGGTGACCTTGAAGAAGTCGTCCAGGCGGCCCTGGGTGCTGCCCTGGCGGCTCTTGCTCAGCCTCCTCACGCCGTTGCGGATCCGCTCCTCGCTGAACTGCTTCTCCTCGCACATGAACTGCACGAGCCGCTCCTCGTCCGGCTCGCTCCACTTCAGCTCCACGGTGTTGGGATCCACCACCTCGGGCTCCAGGAAGAGCTTCTGGGCCTCCCTGTGCGGCCAGTTCTCAGGCAGGGGGTACTTCTTGGTGTCGAGCTGCCGCACGATCCTCTCGATGGACTTGTGCTCCCGGATGAGCTCCACGGCGCGCTTGGGCCCGATGCCGCGGATGCTGGCGCAGTAGTCGCAGCCCAGCAGGATGCACAGGTCCACGAACTGCTCCCAGGTGAGCTGCATGTCCTGCAGGACGCGGTTCAGGTGGAACTCCTGGATGGGCAGCTTCTTGGTCTCGCTGGCCGTGAGGTGTCGCATGAGCACGGGGCTGCCGAAGGTCAGGCAATCCATGTCCTCTGTGGCGGCCGCGTACACCTTCCCAGCCTTCACCAGCGCAGCGCAGCTGGCTTCCGCCTCTCCGGGAGCCTCCACGTAGGGGATCCCCATCAGCTCCAGCAGCTTCTTGCACTCCTGGGTGTGCTGCGGGGTCACCTTGACCAGCCTCTTGCTGTACTTCTCGACGTTCTCCTCCTCGCCGGCCTCCTGCGCTTCCTGCAGGTGCTTCTCTGCCTCGGCCCGGCGCTCTGTGCGCTTCGCCAGCTCCCCAGATTTCAGCTGCGGGGGCTTCCCGTCGAACACATACACGGGCTTGATGCCGTTCTCCACCATGCGGATGGTGCGGTAGAACATGCCCATGAGGTGGCTGGTGGTGTCGCCGTCGTCGTTGTGGAGCACGTCGGCGCCCTGGCGCACGGCGATCAGGAACTGGTAGATGCTCATGGACGCGTCGATGGCCACCTTCCGCCCAAAGTATGACTTGATGTCATTCTCCCGGATGGCCCCGGGGGCCACGTCGGCGATGAGCTTGGCCAGGCCGTGGATTCCCATCCTGGGGAATGGGAAAGAGGATGTTGGGAGGGGGCTCTGCACAGGGAATGTCGGGCCACCCAAAGAAGGGGGGACAAGAGGTGGTGGCTGCTTCCCCTGCAAACCATCACCCTGTAGTGCTGTTACCCCAATTTCAGTCTCAGCCGTCACCCCAATTCCAGCCTCAGCCATTATCCCAATTCCAGCCTCAGCCGTTATCCCAATTCCAGTCTCGGCCATCACCCCAATTCCAGCCTCAGCCGTTATACCGGTTCCACCCTCAGCCCCCCATCATCCCCCACGCCTCACCGTCAGCCCCACCCATCTCAGCCCATCATCACTCCCCTTCCTCCCTCAGCCTCTCGCAGCACAATCCCGCTCCCTTAAATTTCTCTGTGTCCACCATTATAACCCCACCACCTCCCCACTTCCACCTATTTCCCGGCTCCCCAGGCCTCCCAATAACCCTCTTCCCTTCTCATCCCCCCCCCC